ACACACACACACACACACACACACACACACATGCATACCCACAGTGGGCTTAAAAGCATGAGTTCCGACAGAGCTGGCAACGAATGTAGAAACCACGAGTTGTGGGGCGCCTAATTGTCCAACTGACCGAGAAATAGAAAAAACGCGTGGCACTACAAATGCCAAATGACTGCTGCATAAATTGGGGCCAGATCCAACAAGATGTCAGATGCGATAGTGGACGGTTGGCAACTTCGAAGCCCGAGATTGAGCCCGTCGTCAAGGCGCCTGAGCGGGTGTGTGGGCGAGAGAAGAGGCGTGGAAGACGTGAATGCGAATGAATGGAAGCGAAGAGGCCAATTGATAAGATTAGCCCAACCGCAGCCGGCCGGCTCCGTTTGACATTTGGAAGCGGCCAGAGGGGCACCAAGGCCGCGAAAGGGCTTCAAGGCCCCCAGAGAGTTTCGACGATGGCCGGCGAAGAGGACGCCTCAAAGAGCCGGTTCGGGCTGGCCACCCGCCGAGCCAATCTACCAACAACTCCTGCGCGTCGGCCCGACTGCCCAAGTGCCCAAGTGCCCGAGTGGGTGTCGGGCGGACGGAGGGAGTGTGGACGAAGAAGATGGCGTGAGGCGGGCATCTGCGAGCAGATTTGGTAATTGCCGAAACCGGCTGCGTGATCCGCCGGCCGACTTTGCAGTCCTTTACAACTCTGGTTTTCGTCTCGTCTGAAACGACGAGCGCCAACCGTCGTCACAGCAACACGCAGACAGACAGGTCGGGCCCGTCTGTGAAAAGGTGCCAGCAGAAACCTTTCACCAAAGTTGGCAGCCAATAACTCGGCAATTGTACAAGCCGGAACACAAATGAAATGTCCATTTTCACGGCAAATTGGTGCGGAATGCTGATGCAGTGGCGTGAGATGTGAAGAGAGTTCCACCTTCCTGCGTGGCCAATTCAGACATGCCAAAGTATGCGGAAAAACAGGTCTTTTAAACAATCCCTTAAAAGAAGTTGTTTGAACTTGCTTTGGCAACTAGGTCATGTTGGTAGGAAGACTTAAAGGAACCCACCTTGTCCGGAGTCCACTGGATCATGCATCATCATTTCCACAGTCGGACCGTGGAGGTGGTACATTGCAAAACGTTTCGCCATTCTTGGTACCATTCAACAAGTCGTCAAAGAGACAAACGTCTGGGAATGTACCACGTCCACGGTCCGACTTTGGAAATGATCACCGAGTCAATGGACTCCGGACTAAATACGTTCCTCTAAGTCGTCCTAACAACATGAGCGAGTTGCGAAAACAAGGTCAAACAACG